TTACTCCCAGCCAGTATTTGAATGAACAAGGAGGTTTTGAAAAGCTATTGCAATGACCTGGAGATAAATGCACCTGAAATAGTTACTGCAGAGAGTAAAAAACCTAACTGCTCAGTGTTTGGAGCAGTGTACATCGGGGTTTTTTTCTTTAACATAACATTTCAAATTCTGCAGTATCAGAAATGTCTAGCTGCACCAAATTCAGAGTGTTGGAAAAGAAATCAACTGTCTCTGCTAATAAGAAGAACTTCTCCTCTTCCCCACAAAAATTCTGTCATTTCATTCATAAATAAAATAAACCTCTAACTCAGTTGTTGGCAGGCTCTCCCTTTTATCTTTCACTCACTTGAGAAGGACCAGCAACATCACGTTTTCAGAGAGCCAAGTACAGTAATCACAGAATCGGATTTCATGTATTTTTTAAAGCATTTGCAGCAGCAGAGATCCAATCACTTTTATAAGAAATACAAACATATAGAAATTTGGAAGGAGCAACTCAGTGCTCATGACTACCTTCATTTCTCCAGCACCAGATGAATGTGCTGGGAAAGGACTCCTTTCTAAGGGACATCTCCAAAAGTTAGCAACATTACACTACAAGCACCACAGTGCTGAAATACTTATTATCCCAAATAAATCTGGATGACATTTGAGATGTCTCAACATTTATTGGCCTGCCAGCAGAGCCTGGGATCAACCACTTCCTTTTCTCTCTTTTCTCTCACTCCTTTTTTTTTTTTCTTCCCCGTCCTGCTTGCTCAAAGTCTGTGTTCATAAAATATTTAGGGGAAACTCTTCAGAGGATGATATTGCCTATACTATAGCCCCAGTGCAGGTTTACTGTGCTACAGAGACAGATATTCTGCCACCAGAGAAATCAAAATTGGTGATGGGGTTGAGTTACTGCACCAGGAGCACCATCAGACTGACAGTCTGGCCTTGATCCCACCTGGGACACTGGGCTGAGTGGAAGGAACAAAGCAACATGTGGAACAGAGCTGCCTGCTCTTGCAAGGTTATACAGAGAAATGTTACTTTTCAGGATGGAAAACAAAAATATCAATGTTCTGCTTGTGTCTGACACTCACCTGACCCTTTCTCACCTCTCGCAATCTTCTTCCCAGTGGAAAAAAAAAAGCCCAGCTTAATGAAATGTGGAATTCAGATGTGCTGCTAAATGAAGCCCTCAGTCAGCCTCTCATGTAGAACCACCCACTTCTGCAGCAGCCTGCCATAAATTAAATCAGCTGCCATGGTCCCTTCCTACCCCTGAACTTTGCCACAACCTGTTCATCTCATGCACTCACAGCCTTCCCTATAATCCACACATTTTGTGCTCCCACCATCACGTGATTTCTCCCTCCTAATTTCATTAAATCAGCTGCAGATTTCCTATGTTACTCTAATGCTTTCCTGCAGCAAGTATCTGCTTTTAACCTTCTCATCAAAACCCGGCTGTCTGAATGTACTTCTGAGCCTCTGACGACCCCAAATCCCTATCACTTTCCTCTAAGTTCAAGGGATAGGTGTTCCTTTATTCCACCCTTGGCATTTCTCACCCACAGGCATCCAGGCTTAATTCAGGCTGTTGCTAAACTGTCTTTCTTTCAAAATTTTTATGAAGTGCAGTCCAATTAACTTTATCTTTCTTGGGAATCCATTCAATTAAGTGCAGTGAGTGGACACAGAGCACTGTCACCATATTTACATCCAGATTAATGGGAACCAGGTAAGGTAACTTTAAAGACATCAATATTTTAATACTTGGGCTTTTGACTGTGCTATCTTCAGTGTCAGACACATTTAGGAGAGACCAGCACAATTTGAGAGCCTGAGTTTTTAATTTCCTCCATGGTTTGTGGAAATGGGGGTTTAGAAACAGCAGCAAAAATACATGACTTTGTCTTAAAATAGGCTTCTTGCAGGTCAAACAAAACACTTGTCCTGACACAAAATAAGCTAAAACTTCATCCAGTTCATTCTTTCATGGATTGAAGGTAATTTAGGAAACCAGCAAAGAACCAATATTTAAGTGGAGATGCTGAGAACATCAGGAAATCTCATTTAATGAGCATGCAACAGAAATGCTGAGCTAGGAACACAAGTTCTGAAGTGACTTTTCTCCCTTTTGAAAGACAAATGCTGGATCTGGAACATGGACCTGTCTCTCAGATATGGAATAGCTCTGGAAGTTATTTTTACACCTGCTTTGCATTGCAGAAGCAAGGAAGAAGGGTCCAATGGAGACTGAAAACCTGGTTCTGTATCACCACAGCTTAACTTAATTGTGTCTCAGGCACTGATAAATGTGTCAATAAGCATTTGGAGAAATAACTGGTATCCAGGGAATTTATCTTGGTTATAGGAGTTTCAGCTGAATAGGTCAGATTTGTTAACATTTTAATTTATACAAATCTGCATTCCAAATATTGCTCTTCGTCTCCTTTTCCTAACGACAAGGAAATGTCAGCAGCAACCCCAAATTCACTCCTCTAATAGGTTCCTCAAGTTTTCAGGAGAAACAAACAAAAACAATAAACCAGTCTGTGGCACAGCAATGGGGGCGTTTAAACACAATTTTAGATGCAATATAACTTTATGTTAATAAACCAGAAAGTTTTGTCAATTCCAGATGTAATCCTGAAAGTAGGAGAGAGAGCTGGCAATAAGCCCTGTAGCTTCAGGGCAGCCCCAGGATTGTGCCCAGAGCTGGTTGTTCTGCCTCAATCCAAGTGTCCCTTGGCCAACCTTGTACTCAGCTTGGGACACTCAACCCCAGATTTCCACACACAATGTGCCAGCTGTGATTTCCTCAACCCTGTGCACAAGGGAGCTCACATGAAGCACATGGTCCCCCTGCAAGTTTTTAAAATACTTCAGATGCAATGAGAGAAACACTAAAAAAGACAAAGATTCTGCCTTATCCTTTCTCCCTAATTATCACCTGCCTCTTTTCTGAGGTGATTTGCTGAGATTAAAACCTCTCTCCCAACCAAGTTATCCCAATCTGTGTTTCTGAAATTAACAGAAATCAACGACCTTTCTATGCCCATAAAGCCCTGCATTAAAATGCTGGCCCCCACTGATGTCAGGGGGGCAATAACAGTTCTTTCATTTCCATAAAATCAGCATTTTCCTGCCAGAACTCCAATTTCTTCTCTGAGTACTCTGTTGCCATCCCCCCAGGGGCTGCCAGCAATCTCTCCAGCACTTGTTTCTGCTCTTCCACTGCGAGCCTGCTGCAGGCTCCAGCACTGCCTGGGATAATCTACCTGCTTAAGATTCAGCCAACTTCCCAGCTCTTGGAATAAAAGGAGTAGGGAAAGGTCAGATCTGCCTGAGGTTGTGCTTGCAGAGTCTGCCACGTCAGGTGGGAAGGAGCAGGAGCTCCCCCAGCTCTGCTTCCTGTCTGCACACCTGGAAAGCTCTCTGCTCTGCTGACCTTCTTGGAAAGCTGTTCCACACAGCCTGTGCCCCCTGGGCCAGCTCACCCTCACACGGTGCTGAGGGCAAGCTCTGTGCTGCTCCCAGCCAGCATTCCCAGTCAGCATTCCCATCCCATCCCATCCCATCCCATCCCATCCCATCCCATCCCATCCCATCCCATCCCATCCCATCCCAGAGTCCCAGTGGCTGCCCTGGAGCTCCACACGTGCTGCTGAGCTGTTGCCAGGGCTTTTATCTGCTCTCAGCAGCTGCCTTTGGGATTCATTCCCGAGCTGCTCTGAAGCCAAAAAGCAGCCCCAGACATGGGAATGAAACGGGCACAGTCCCTGGCAGGGAATGTCTCCTGGCTGGAGCCTGGCAGAGCACTCAGCAGTGGGGCCAAAAATGTGCTGCTGGCCTGAAGGGCATGGGAAGAATCTCCAAGGTGCTGGAGGATTCAAGTCTCTAGAGTTTAGGTCCCAGACCCACATGTGGGGACTCCTGCTTGCTCTGCCCCTGCCATTGCCACAGAGGAGGAAAGGAGAGAAAGAAGAACAAAACTCATTTCTGGTGCCTTCTCCCAGAAAAGCAGCACACTGGGCTCTCCCAAACTGGGCTCTCCCACTGGATGTGTTAGCACTGGGGACTGCCTGAATATAAACATCTGGCTCTCAGACTAAGCAGGTCCTTCCTTCCATACTCTCTGTGGCCCATTGCTCCATGAACAAATGATCCTTCCCATCATTTAGTCCATGGAGACCCCCCAGTTGCATTGACCTGGGGAATAAAAACAGAGCAGAAGTTCTGGGGTTCTCTCCCTTCACACCCATTGACCCCATCCCCTCCTTCCCCATCACTGCTCCATCCCATCACTGGCACTGCATTCATTTTTGTTTGATGTGTGAGGTGTAAATGCTTTGTCCTTGAGCTACACCCACAACCACAGGAGGCAGAGCTTGGACAATCACATTATATAGTTTTTATACTGGCAGGCTATTTTTTTGTCAGTAAAAGTGAAATTTCTGCTGCATTTGGTAAAGCTGCACATTGTAAAACGCCAGAAAGAAGAGGCACTAAAAGCAGAACATCACACAAACCCCAAATCACTGGAAGACATTTTACTAGTTTGGAAATGACACAATGACAGGAAGGGTGCTGAGGGCAGGCTGTGCTCCTTTCCCAGGGATAACATGCAAAGAACTAAGAAAGACAAGTCTGGAAAGGGCTATAGGTGTCTGGCACTTTATTGTCCCCAAGAGAAGGGGGGGAAATGACCATTTATTCATCCCCCTACACCTCCTGGAGTATTTTCTACATCTTTGAGTTTTACAAACTTAGGAAAGGAAAATATCAGCTCCTGGAGTTTGAAGATTCTCGCAGGGTTTCATCGACTGATATGGATTAAGACAAAAATATCACATCAAAGCCACGATGCCCCACAGCTGCTGTAGAAGCAAAGACTGTGATCTCCACACCTCAACTCAAGCTTTTATAGGCTTGGGATTAAAGACAGGGTTTGGGCTTTTCACGTCAGCAACCTTCAACAACACCTGCTAAGGCAGTTTCAGACTCACCTCCCTGTCGAGCCCAGCAGCCACGGTGACAATGTCCCCTGTCTCGCTGTTGATAGTGAACATGTTTTGGGAGGGGCTCTGTGGGGTCTGGGTGACAATCCTGTACCTCACCATCCCGTTGGCCGTGGTGCCGTCGTCCGCGTCGTTCGCCGTCACCGTCATCACGTAGGTCCCTGGAACGAGCCAAGAGGAATCATCAGTGCTACCTCACTGCAGGGCACGCTGGGGTCCCACTGACCTGGGGCTGTGCATTTTGTTCAGAAATGCTATGGAAGAGACACCTCACTGCAATCCAGCCAGCCAGGCAAGGCGAGGATTATGGAAATAGCAACACTGCTGAGATAGATCATCTGGAAGGATGCTGATTACATGGAACTGGTAGATAGAGAGAAGTCATGTGAGGGTATCTATGATTAACTTCTAATTCTTTCAGTGATTGTAAGTTTTAGGGCAGCATTTTTTTTTGTCCTATAATTTCACAGATTCTCACAGGAGATTTTTTTTCCTATCCAATCACTGCATTCACATGCATTCAGAAGTAGAATTTAATAGCAGAAAGCCCATCAGACTTCTCAGCAGCTTCAGAAGGACACCATCAACATGCCCATGCCCAGTGCAAGAAGCAACTGCCTGCTGCTTCCAGTTCTTGGAGAAACATCCACCTTTCTTGTCCCTCCAGGATTTAAAAAATCCATTTCTGCAGAGCAAATACAACAGCTGCTGCCCAGCAGGACAGAAAATCAATGATTTGGTATGTGTGGCCAGTGATGTATTGAATTGTTGGTATGTTTCTTGCTAATCATCAGTGTCTTCATTTGCCTTGCAAAAAACAATCCCTACATTCTCGATACTGTCGGAGTGCACTGATGCACTGACAGGCTCATTAGCACTGGAGTTTGGCAGCAGGGTGTTTTGCTAAAGTGGGAAATTATCATTATGAGGGTAAAAGATGTTACTTGATTGGATGGACTCCTGCAGCTGCGTGGTCCTGTGACCCCCCCGAGCTCGTAGGGCCCAGCTTTACACTTGTCATACTGGTGGGAGGCAACGAGCAGAAGGGCAGGCACACACTGCTCAGACAAGGCAATCTGCAACAGTGCATGAATATGATGATATGAGACCTGAGAAGAGGAGTGGGAGGCAAAGAGAGACAGCAAAACCAGACATAACCTCGTTTTGTGATCACCAAACCCAACAGCATCCATGAAAAGAGGGAAGGTGCCCCTCCAACACTGCACATTTGGGAAGTCTGAGCACACGGGCCAACTCATGAGCCTGCAGTGCTGGAGAGATGCAAAGTGGTCCCAGTGAGAACCTGAGCTGACTCCAGATGGAGCCACACGTGGCTTTACAGAAAGAGCTGAGATTGTTCTGGTCTCTGGGCTGGATGTGAGCCATGGGCAAACTTGAGGACATGTGGCTGCATCAGCACTGTGCTGTGTCTCCTCTGGCACACTCAGGTCCCCAGCCTGGTCACACTGGGAGCCACCACACTCCCAGTCCAGAAGGACCAGAGAGCTGGAGAGCTCATATCTGTTTGCAAAGGACTTGAAAAATACCCCATGCTCTAAATAGGCAGATCTAGAAATGGCTGTAGCATTTTGTACCTTAGCCAAGCGTCTTCAAGCCACTCAGCACGTAGGAAATCCCACCCCCAGTACCTTTCCCAACTCTGTTTCTCAGTATTAGCAAGAAGTTTGTATTTTTGCACTTGTGTGAAGTAATTTGCTGATCTTCCATCTGCCTCAATCAGGCTCTTTTTGTTCTCACTGGTGATACATATATTCCTGTGAGTTTCCTTAGTTCAATAAGAATTATAGATTAAAAAATAAATGAATGTGTAAAGCAAATCTTAATGATGAATACATTCCTGTTTTTCTGCAATAATCCTGATTCACATTTGTGAAATGAAAACAAACTATTCAACAACTTTAACATTCTCCCGATCAATAAACTTCAGAAGACGGAAGGAACACTGAATTGAAACAAGGCTGTGCAAGCAACAAATTTTCTCTATTTTCTCTACAAGCATTCGTTTTTTGCTCTTTTGCAAAACCAGTTATCACGAGACAGCTGATACAAATAATGAAACCAACCCTTAGATAACTACAGGGAAAATGCACAGGAGAAATTTAAATAGGAAATATGCTGAATGAGATGTTTGATTTGGAATTTATGTTATCTTAATGCATTCAATACTGAAAATATCTTTGAACAGAATGTCAAAACCTGGGGCTAATGAAAACACAAGCGGAACAGGAAAACAGAATCTATTTTAGGACACGTGCAGTCTTAGGATGTATTCCAAAAAACAGGTGGTATTTCATGATGCACTTCTAACTCAAAAAACAGCTCTGAAAGTAATTTCCAGGTTCAGACAAAGGCACCCCACAACTGTGGTGCCTCCTCGTGTGGGATGTCTCAGACTGCACTGTAGATTCCAAAATTACCCAGCACATGTGAGAAACGGTGAGTTCCCAGCTTGGCAGGGGAACCTGACAGGCTGCAACTGTGGTGGGAGGGGTGGGGGGACAGCAGCTGTACATGGGTGGAGAGCATGGAAGGTTTCCCTCACTCTTTCTCTGACCCTTTTGCTTCTTTCCTGTGGTGTAGCAACGGACTGAGCACATGTGCTCCAGAGAAAAAGGACAATTTCAACAGCATTTGACCTACACTTCCATAAAGGGAGATGGGGCTGGACAAATGTCTCTGAAGTCATGAACTGAGCACCGAGGAGCTGTATGTCAAGAGGCAATCTGCTCCCCATCTCCTATCTTTAATTTCGATTATGAAACCCAACCACAGAGAAAATAAAGAGAGGAACTTGGCATTAATTACTATCTTGTAACTTAATAAAACGCCCTCTGCAAAGGGCCCTGTGTGGCTGCAGCACATGATGGAGCTGCAGCAGCCACTTCCTTCCTGGCTCTCCCTGGGGCTGCCTGTCTGGCCACAGTCTGCTCTAAAGTGGCTGCAAATTGCTTCTCCCTCCCCACAGTCTGGACAGTGGCTGTGTCTCCCCTCCCTTTCCTGTGCACACACTTTTCCCACCTGGCAGTGTTGACTGACAGCATCTCCTGCTCCCCGTGCTGAGGGCACCATCCCTAGGGATGGCTCCTGAGGGATCAGCTGGTGTAACTACACCCCTGCCGATGTTCCACTTGGTTTGCTTTGCATTTAGCCTGTCTTTAAGCAAGATGTATCCTCCAGATACCTGTGTGCTGCACTGAATGACACAAACACAGATCTGTGCACAAGAGTATTCAACAGAGTGATGTGGATATACACAGATAAAGTGTCTGACATCCTCTGGGTGCTGCATAAACTCCTGCACCATGCTCAGATGGTAGGTGATGATTTAGCTGCAATAGAAGCAAAAAATGTCATAGTTCTATATCCTTTGCATGGAGGTACATCTTCATGTAGTTTATATTAAAATAAAGGCAATATATCCCTGTATCCAGCCCCTAACACTACACAAATTAGGCAAATACACAGTGGCAGAAAACACAGCTCTAACACACCTGAGGATTGAAGCTGGTATTGTTTGGTTTTAAGTGACAAAACACTGACTGCCCAATCTGGCCCACAGGATGTGTGTGGAAATCAAAGTATTAACAACACCATATTTACAGCCCTGTATCCTACCCAAACAGAGACTAGGAGCAGCTACTACAGATCAGAAACAATGAGAAAATTCCTCCAAGTCTCAGTCAAGACCACCAGTCTGTACTCTGCTGATTTTGTATCAGACCCTGCTGGTGGTGATGAAGCTACAAGAGTTGGTTTAACAAGTGAAAACAAGGAGGATTTTATACTTTCAGTGCCTGAGAAAAGCATCACCTTTATTTTTCTGCTCTGCAGAGCTTGCTCTCAAGCACACTGACAACATTAAATGAATGCATAAAGTGCCCAAGCTCAGAAATTTGCCCCAGCCTGTGCAGTGTATCACAGGACGAATACCCAGTGCTGATATAACAGATATAGATTTGATATAACTGCATTAAACTGCACACCTGGCCTAACTCAGGTACATAACCTGTTGAAGGAAAACCATTTCTCATCAAATAAGGCACATGGTACGTTAAATAAAATACCAAACCTAGTACATCATGTCAATAGTAAATCAAATTTATTTCATGTTGAACAGCTCTTCTGAGCAGCAGATTGAATTACCATGCACAGCTAGTGATGACAAGATTACTGTGCATTAGCCTTCATTAACTAATGTGCAGAGTTCATATATCACCTGAGTTAAAATTAATGGATGGCATGACGAAGGAGATCTATCAATAAAAAGCAAGACCTCCAGAATCTGTAACTTCCCAATGCATTCCTTTTGATTTCCCAGAGACTGTTACCTCCCAGATGTTATTTTGTCAAATGAGATGGTTTTGTTTCTAGCCATGGATAAGACACATGAGAGAAATGCTTGAAAGCAACCCTTATGGAAAATATTCCCAGTGGATTAATTAAAGTTTCTACAGGATGGGCAAAAAAAAGCCTTACAGAACCTGGAGGAATGGAAGAAAAGGGAGATAATTTATACCTGTACAATAAATTTTGTTTGTCAATTTTAAAATGAATTGCATCTCCTTCTAAGAGGCTGCAAAGAGTTTTTGCTAGATTCACCATATCTTATTCCATCTGTACATGCTAAGGAAAAAGAAAAGCAAAACAAGAGAGAGAGCTGCCCTGAGCATGTGTAAGCAGATAAGCACAGTCATAAACAAATGTCCCCCTCAAATCACTCTGGAATCTGAGAATCAGCTCAGTTCTTTGTAGCTCAGATAATCCCAAAGCATGCTGAGGGTTGCTAATTCCCCTCACGTTTTCTGCAATCTCTGGTCTCCCATCTATGCAACTTCATTTCTCCATAAAGATGGAGCTTGCAGGAGTTTAAGGCACACAAACAATATTTTGGCACAGTTGTGCTCCTGAAGTCTTTGTTACAATTGCTTTATAATTGCCATTTTTCTAAGCTGGTTTGATATCCATTAGTTAGATTTAATGCATGTTAAAATAAAGAGCTAATGGGCACTTACCAGGAAACCAACAAAATATAAAAATAAAAACTCCTTTCACTTTGCCCTTTATCCCACGTCACTGTAAAAACACACAATCCTCTCAGCCTTCTATGATATAAACAAAAAATGCTAAAACTTCACCCACT